TTCCTTTTGAAATTAGGTCTCTGAGCCTGCGGATTTTATGGAATTTTCGGGTGTGCGAGGATGGTGCCGCTCTAGTCAGTAAATGGAAAGTGCGCAAAAAGAAATGCTGGGTTTAAATGAGTTACAAGGAGTCAAAGGGAACCTTCATTCTTGCTATAAAAATCAATCCCAAAGCCTGAAGTGGTGGCACACACCTAATATGAAAAAGAGAGGGGAAAAAAGAAAGAGAGAGAGAGAGAGAGAGAGAGACAGAAAGAGGAGAGAGAGAGAGACACACAGAGAGAGACAGGAGAGAGTGGAAAGAGGGGATAGAGGAAGAGAGACACACAGAGAGAGACAGAGACAGAGAGACAGGAGAGAGTGGAAAGAGGGGATAGAGGAAGAGAGATGACAGAGAGGAGACAGAGAAGAGAGAGGTGAGAGAGAAGAGAGAGATGGGAGAGGAGAAAAGAAAGGGAGATGGGGGAGAGGAGAGAGAGAGAGCGCATGTGAAAACACTCACAGGCACACACAAGTGCACACTTGTAACCCTGTAACTCTGGAAGCTGAGTTAAGGCCAGCCGGGACTATTTAGTGAGTTCTTGGCCAGCTAGGGCTACGTAGCAACACCCTGCCAAACAAACAACAGTGTCTTCAAATACACATTTTTGAAAGTTCTGAAGCATAGTAAAGAAATGCAGAAAATTAAGACCAACCTTATCTACAGAAGAAGAATACCTAGAAACAGAGTCATTTAACTTCAGTGATATGGAAATGCAATATGAGAAATTTTACACCTTGGGAAAGGAGGAAAGGAAGGAAGGAAGGAAGGAAGGAAGGAAGGAAGGAAGGAAGAAAAGGCCTGACCAGTGGCATCCAGTGCTAAGGATCCACGGGGCCTCTCAAGAGTGTGTCCCTTGAAAACAGTTTGGCCCAGATTTCCAACTTGGATACTGATAGCCTCTTGGATTCAGCAGTAGAGCTGGACAGTCTGAGACTATAGAAAGGGGATGGGAAAGAGGGGGCTGAAGCCACCAGGAAGTGGGAGCCATCTTCTGCAGGAGAAGCTAGCTGTGCAGAAAATGACTTTAACAAGAAATTCCCAGAAAACGATACCCAAATGCCCAGAAAGCCATTTGCAACGTGCTAAACCTTATGGGTTGTTAGGGAAATGTAGCTATAAGCACAGAGAAGAACATTCATCAACATGGTCACAGTGCATTGGGGATGCAGCACAGTGGTGGAGTGCTTGCCAGGCATAGGCAAGGTCCTGGGTTCAATCCTAGCAACATAAAAACAAAACGAGTCACAGCATTGAGAAAGACCAGGCTGGTAGCAACTTGAAAATGCATATCATGCTGTGTCACCGCATGGTACCACGATCCACCGCTTGGTACCACCATCCACCAACTCCACTCCCAGGCATACGCCACACAGAAGTGAACAAGACAGTGCAATACAGGATGTGCAAGGGGCCGGCAAGACGGCTCAGCAGATAGAGGGGCTTGTTGCTGAGCCTGGACCTGAATTTAACCCCAGAACCCATGTAAAGGTGGAAGAAGATTGACTCTGTAGAGTTGTCCTCTGACCTCCAAACATGTGCTGTAGCATGCATGTACCACCACCACCACCACACACAAAATAAACAATGTGATGAAATTTTTAAAAATATATGCAAGAATGTTCATACTAACACAACCCACGGTAGACAGAAATCTATCAGCAGAAATAGATAAACCAGAATAGTCACACCATGAAACACTATGCAGCACAAACTACCCTACCAACATACAATGTGGATGACTCAGATATACAGTTTTGAGCCAGGTAATCCAGGCTCCAAAGACTGCATACTGTATAATTCCTTTCTTGTAAAGTTCAAAACCGAGATAAGGCTGGGAGGGGTGATGCAAGCTATGGTCCTAGTGCTTGAGATGGAGAAGCAGGGAGAGCAGATTAGCTATGCGTTTAAGATCTCTGGGCTCATGAGATATTGCCTTAAAAAAAAAGGACAAGTTAGCCATTGGTGATGGCACATAACTTTAGTCCCAGCATGCAAGAGGCAGAAGTAGGAGTGTTTCTGTGAGTTCCAGGCCAGCCTGATCTACAAAGCAAGCTCCAGGACAGCCAGGGCTGTTACACAGATAAATCTTGTTTTGGACAACACACACACACACACACACAAACATACACACACACACACACACACACACACACACACAAAACCCAAACAACAACAATAATAAACAACCACTCAAAAACAAAACAATAACAAAAAGGTCAAAAATTAAATTTAAAAGCAGTGATGTTGGGGTTCGAGCAGTGAGATTGGACATGGACACAGGCCATACTCCTAACCAAGATCCTATCTGCAATTGGTCCCCAATTACAAAGGAAATATTAGCCTTTCCCAGTGGAGGAGTCTCACTGGGCATATTTAGCACACTTCAGGCCAGTCCCCATGCCCAGGAATTGATGACCAACACAAAATGAGCTCAGTGGTATTTTTGTAGACTTTTGTCTCATATTATTTTGTTTGGAAACTTTTTTATTGGTCTTTTGCTTGTTTACTTTGGTTTTAGATTTTTTTTCCTGTGTTGTTTGTTTTTTAAAGAGAAAGAAAGAAAAGATGTATAGTTGGGTGGGTAGGGAGGGGAGGATGATCTGGGAGGAGTTGGGGAAAGGGAAAATTGTGATCAGAATATATTATATGGGATTTTTTTTCAATTAAAAAATAGGCATGATTAGGCTGTGGTGGCACACACCTTTAATCCCAGCACTCAGGAGGCAGAGACAGGTGGATCTCTGAGTTAGAGGCCAGCCTGGTCTACAGAGGGAGTTCCAGGACAGCCAGATCTATACACAAAGAAATCATGTCTCAAAAAACCAACCAACCTAACAAGCAAAAAAAGAGTGATGGTCCTGGGGTGTGCCTCAGTTGGTAGAGTGCTTGCCTTCAGCGCATGAAGCCCTGGGTTCCATCTGATGTATGCATACACCAAATGTATCCTGCATCCCAGCCTCCAGGAGGGAAACAAGAGGATTAAAAACTTACTATTGGCTAGATAGTAAGTTTGAGGCTAGCCTGGGGCACACATAAAAAATAAGAAATCTAGAAAAAAAGAAGCAGAGATGAGGATGACAGTAACCTATGGGAAGGGAAGGAGCTGTGGTGGGCAAGGACGGGAGGGACACTGGCCACGCTCTTTCTGCTCTTTGTTTTACTGGGCCCTGACAGAGTGACAGTAGCAGGACTAATTGTATTTATGAAAATATACCACTTTGTACACACTTTTTTTTTCTGACTGATGGAGTTGTGATTGAATAATGTACTACTTACTCCCCAAGCTCCTTGTGTAATGGGGTGGTTCTCTTGGAGGGGCGTGAGCTTAGTGGGAGATAGATTATTGGAGAAAAAAGCCTTTTCTTTATAAACCTTTTGTCACAGCTTTTATTTTTTGTTTTGTTGTTCTTTTTGTTTGTTTGTTTGAGACAGTCTTTCTATGTAGCCCCAGCTGGCTTGGAACTTGGAACAGCCCCAGGCTGGTCTCGAACTCACAACCCTGAGTAGAAGCATTAAAGGCAAGCGCCACAAGTACTGCTACTCACGGCCCCATCTCAGATATTTTGTTAAGAGACAGAACATAGAACGGCACATGTGATACATTCTGAATCAATTTCTACCTTTACTGAGACAGAGATTCTTTTCTTAGGTGTGTGTGTGTGTGTGTACATGCACACCAACGCTAGTGCCAGCATAGGCCAGAGGTGTCAGATCCCCTGGAGCTGAAGTTGCAGGTAGTTGTAAACTTGGCTACATGGGTACTGGGAATAGAACTGGTGTCCTCTGCAAGATCAATAAGCATTCTTAATGGGGGATACATCTCTTCACCCCACGGGAAAACATTTAGAAGAACGAGCAGATGTTGGAATGGATAGACGTGGTTGGAAAAAAAATAACAAGGAATCACGTGTGACTCTGGCTATAGCCTCAGCAACTGGGGAAGCAAAATTACTCTTTGCCACGATGTGAAAGATTGAGGAAGGGCTCGCCTGGGCAGGACATGGAAGTCAACTTCCTGCCCAGGCATGTGATGTATGGTCCCTACCAGGCATTCCGGTGAAGGTGTTAAGTGACCACCTGGGTCTCCAAGTTTAGAGGTTGGGGGAGAATTCAGAGCTGGGAACTCCAGGTCTGTAGGTTCTTTCTATGGAGACAGAAAACAAGTCACTAGTCCCAACCTAATCTTCAAGGGGCAAGAGGAATAGGGTCTGTAATCCCAGCACTGGGGAAGCAGAGACTAGAGGCCAGCCTGGTCTAGATACAGTTCCAGGCCAGCCAGGGCTACATGTGAGATCATGTTTCAAACTGGAGAGGAGGAGGTGGAGGAGGAGCAGGAGGAGGAGCAGGAGGAGGAAGGAGGAGGCAGAACAAAGGAGTTCAAGAAATAGTAGCTTGGGAGCTGGGAGGCAAAACCAGAGAGTGGCTTCCAGGAAACAGATGACCCAAGGTGACTGAGACTGCTGCCGGGCCACGATAAGAACTTGTGGGCGCAGTTTTGTGGAATGTTGATGTGTGAAATGTGGAGATGACCTACACCGGGAGGGAGATGGAAAGACCCAGAGCACAGCCTTTGCAAATTCTACGGGTTAGATAAGCAGAGGGATGGCAGATGGAGGAGATGTGGCCCGAGGACTTCCTGATGGGAACTGTTGCAGCTTGTTTGTGGAGGGGGGAGCAGGGATTTGGGATAAAGAAAGGAAAGCAGCAGGTGGTGAGGGGCCGTCACTGCATTCCTCTTGGGGTTTCACTGTGTCTAGAGCAGGATTCCTGAGGCCTGAAAAGTGGTTTGGTAGATAAGGCATTGCCTATGATGATTAATAGGGATTGAACAAGTCCCTTTACCTCCTTCCTTTAGTCTGGTCCCAGCAGCAGGATTCCAATGTTTCCTCTTGGTAAAAGGATCTGGCGTGGGCGGAGCAAGGAGGCCCTGGCGAAGGCTGGGCAGGACTGGGCTGGGCTGGGCTGGGCTAGCTCCTTGTGCCTGGAGCACAGAGGTGTGTGGAGCCTCCGGAGGCAGCTCAGCATGGTGGAGTTCGCACCTCTGCTGGTGCCATGGAGGCGCAGATTGCAGACCCTCGCAGTCCTGCAGTGGGTCTTCTCCTTCCTGGCCTTGGGTAAGAGGGTAGCCACCGGCACATGGGAAGGGCCGGGCAGCCAGCGGTAGCACGGGATGCCTGATGGAGAGATTCAGGAAGGGGCTTTGCTGGGCTCAGAGCTCCTGTGCAGAGAGGTTCCTGAGGTCTGCCGGAACCTTGTATGGGTAAGCAGGGTCTTCTGTGTCTTGGGAAAGCTTTAGTTTCCGGGACCGGGGGTGGGCAGTTTCCCTCAGGCTCTTGCTGCAAGCTGGCAAAGGGTAGGGAAGCATCCAATGCTCGGGAAAGCGCTCCCGGGTTTCCTGCTACTCGGACAGGCCGCTCTTCATTTTACCTTTCAGAAAAGTGGAGGTGGAACTGAGGCCAGGAAAGACGGGACCAGCCTCTGCTTCCCCAGCTGCATCCCCATGGGGATGACAGTGTCGCCCTATGGGGTCTTTGTAGATGAAATGCAGGAAGGTGGGAACCCAAGGCAGACCCTGGGCTGGCCCCCTTGGTGTGGATCTGCCCCCTGATCTACCAGGCCCCATTGATGCCTGGCTGTACCCCAGCTCTGCTGTGGACCAGGAAGGGAGAGTGGCAGGGAGCACATGGGACTCTCCAGACTGGGGGAAGACTGTCACTCCAGGACTGGGATTCAGCCTGGGTCCAGATCCTGCTGGCTGGCTGTCAAAACAGTCATATGCAGGGTACTTGGTCACACACTCATATGCACATGTATACACACATGTGTGTACGTGGTCCCTTAGGACCACCTCACCATTCCTCAGCTAGAGGGTATAATCTTGCAAAGTGGGCCTTCAAGGGCCCCGCCTCTAACACCCATCTTAATTGGTCTGTACTTCTATCCCAGGGTTGGTAAACATTTAAAACAGCCAAGCAGAGAAATGGCATACTTGAGAGACCCAGGCTGTAAATCAGGAGCCTACCGCCTGCTCTTTCCAGTGGAAGAAGGGCTGAGGGACGGGCAAAGAGCATCGGAGGAAGTGTGGCTATAGAAAATAGCTGATGGGCCTAGAAAACAGAGAGCAGGAGGCCTAAGCCCAGAGCTGGCTTGGCTCAAAGGGCACGGGAGACCCAGAGTCTCTTAGGCCATCCCCACAAGCTCACAGGGGCTGAGGGACACCAAACTCAGTGTGCCACCTGTAACCTGGAGGGCAGGAGTACATCTGACTGGACAAGCTTACCCCATCCATGCAGCCTGTGGCATCTGCCTGGCCCTGCTGTCACACAGACCTAGCAAGACCAGGGAGTATAGCACAGGTGCCAGGAGAAGCTAGAGAAAAGCAAGGAAAGGGCTCTTGACCCTTTCATGCCAAGAGTGGGCGGTTTTACTTTACCCTTATCCTGAGGGCAAAGGCGAATCATAGACCCAGCAGGGAAGTGACAAGGTCCAACTTTGTGTTAAAGGTCCCTGTACCTACAGATGATTTTCTGCTGTGTGGCGGATGAGAAGATCAAAGGCAAAGCAGTCCAAGTCTGTATCAGTTGTCACCAAATCAGGGCCCAAGGGCCCAGACCAGCCTGAGTATTTGGTTCTCTCTCTCTCTCTCTCTCCCTCCCTCCCTCCCTCCCTCCCTTCCCTCTCTCTCCTTCCCTCCCTCCCTCCCTCCCTCTCCTCTCCTCTCCTCTTCTCTCTCTCTCTCTCTCTCTCTCTCTCTCTCTCTCTCTCTCTCTCTCTCTCTCTCAGTCTAAGATCCAAGAGTTTTTGCCATTTCTAAGAGATTAAGTTTTGAACTGCTACCAGGCAGTGGTGGTGCACATGCCTTTAATCCCAGCACTTGGGAGGCACAGGCAGGTGGATCTCTGTGAGTTCAAGGACGGCCTGGTCTGCCTGGTCTACAGAGTGGGTTCCAGGACAGCCAGGGCTATACAGAAAAATCCTGTCTTGAACCACTACCCCCCTCAAAAAAAAAAAGCTGATTAAATTTTGAGCTGCTACTCATGTGCTTCCAGAATGTCTTCTAATTTGCATCTTACATCACAGGTTCTAAAATGTCTAAAATATTTACTATCTTGCCTCATTTTTTACTTTGATAATGATGATGATGAAGGAATGGCCTCAGAGCCTTGAAAGCATCAGGAGCTGAGTTTGAGTCCCAGGATCTCTGTAAAAATGTCAGGCATTGTGACAAATACTTGTCATTCCAACACTGAGGAGGCAGAGTCAGGAAGGTCCCTGGCACCCGATGGCCAGTTAACCTTGCCTAATGGGTGAGCTTCAGGTTAGTGCGAGACACCATCTCCAAAGGAGGTGGGCAGCCCTCCGTAGGTCGACACTCAAGGTTGTCCTCTGGCCTCCACACACATGCAGACAGGTGCATGCACACACCTGCCCACGGGTGAACATACACACATGTGTCATACGGAGAGGCGAGGGAGGAAGTGGGAGGGGATGGGGTCCACAGACGGCGCTACCTAAGGGAGGTTTTAAAGAATAATGAGGGCTGGGCTGGGGAGAACAGTTTCGTCGGTAAAGTTGACTGCACAAACACCAGGTGGGGTTGGTACCCTGCCTATAATATCAACACAAAGTAAGCAGAGACTCCCTAAAGCAAGCTGGATAGCTAGTCAAATCCATGAGCCCTGGATTCAAGAGAGAGAACCTCAACATCAGAGAGCCATAGATAAAAAAAGATGGAGATCAGAGTGTGATAGGGGAAGACACCCACACATACACGCATACAAACCACATACACACTGAGAGAAAATACAGTGTGCGTCTAAGCCTGCCCATACTCTGCTTCCTAGGGAAGCAGGGAAGGTGTGGAGAAGAAAGAAAAGACTAGGTGATTTGAACAGTCAGTTCAAGTGGACATATGGAGTGCATTTTGCAAAATGGCATGGAAGTAGCTGGGAAAGTCAATCAGGACCAAGCACCAAAGGCTCAGGCCCAGAGCCAAATGCTTTCCAGATGGGCTGCTCCTTTGCTTCTGTTTTTTTTCCTCTCTCACAGCTCTCATGGGAGAGCATGATCCCTCAGTGTCGGTCTATGCTCTTCTTAGCTGGTTTTGTTTTATATTTGTTGAATGAATGAATGAATGAATGAATGGCATGGACCAAGCACTGACTCTCAGGTTTTACCCTGCTAGCTTGCTGTGTGAGCTTACTTAGACAGTGTGCATACCCTCTCTGAGTCTCTAAAAAGTAGAGCTTTAAGAAACCTCAGGGTCCCCCCTCTTCTTTCCCCTTCTCCATTTAATCTTCCCATTCCAGTCTCTTCCCTGTCTCACCATAACTATATATTCTATTTCCCCATCTTTGGGAGATCCTCCCCTCCTCCCTAGTCCCTTACTTTATACTTAACTTCTGTGGTTATATGAATTGTAGCATGTCCACTGAAAGCTTACAAGCTAACATTCACATATAAGCATGTATGTATTTGTCTTTTTGAGTCTGGTTTATCTCACTCATTGTGATTTTTTTCTAGGTCTATCCATTTTACCTGCAAATTTTATGATTTTGTTTTTTAAAACAACTATTAATATTTTATTGTGTAAACTTGTCACATTTTCTTTATCCATTCATCTGGTGGTGGGCATTTAAACTGCTTCCAATTTATGCCTTTTACAAATACAATAATAATAACACAAAAACAAACAAACAAACAAGAAAGCAACCTCAATCTTAGTTGGGCATAATGGCACACACCTCTGATCCTAGCACTTGGGATCTCTGTGAGTTTGAAGCCAGTGTGGTCTACATAGTGAGTTCCAGAACAGCCAGAGCAGCATAGTAAGACTCTTTTTCCCCCAAAATACCAAACCAAATCACTAACAACAAAAGAAACCACAGACTTGTAGACTGGGTAAAAGAAGGAAGGGTTACCTCTCTAAATCCCCAAGTATGCCCAGCCTGGGCTTACTGTTAGCAGGCAGAGGGAAAGTCTGGGAATCAGGACCCCAAAGCAGTATCTTTCCATTGATGGGAAAGTGCTCTCTGTTTTCTCCTAAACTGTTTCTTTTTTTTTCTGTCTGCAAAAGTAACTTATTCAAACAACATTCAAACATGTAAGTAAATAACTTCCCTAATCCTCCCCTTCAAGTAGCCACTGTTAATAGTTTTTCTTCTTGAGAGAGCACCTTATTTAAGCGGGAGCCACTGCAGAGACTTTTGGTTTGGCCCAAATGGAAAGAACTGTAGCTGAAGTTTCATTTATTTATTTTACATTAAAAAATCGGGGATGGGCTGGAGAGATGGCCTAGTTGGTAACCTTGCTTGTGCAAGTATGAGGACCTGAGTTGTTTCCCAGGTACCACATACCAAGCTGGAGGTGGCAACATACACTTGCAGCCCAGCTCTGGGAAGACTTAGACTTGAGGATCAGGGACATTCCTGCCAATCATCCTTGCTGAATCAATTAGCTCCAGGAGACAGGAGGATGTAGGGATGAGCTCCAGGAGACAGAAAGATGTAGGAGTGAGCTCCAGGAGACAGGAAAATGTAGGATGAATGCCAGGAGACAGGAGGATGTAGGGTGAGCTCCAGGAGACAGGAGGATGTAGGGTGAGCTCCAGGAGACAGGAGGATATAGGGGAGAGCTCCAGGCGACAGAAAGATGTAGGGGTGAGCTCCAGGAGACAGGAAGATCGGGAGCATTTCCACCAGTCATCCTCATTGAATCAGGGAGCTGCAAGGTGTTATAATTTAAGAAAAGCTGTGTTCAAGAGAAAGACACCAGGCAATGGGGTTTAAGCAGAGTTGTTTTTTTTTTTAATTAGGGAAAGAGATCATAAAAAGGGGAAGAGGGGAGACTGGCTTCTGGAGATGGGAGCAGCAGGAGAGAGGAGAAAGGAAACAGGGGGAGAGAGGGGAAAGAAGAAGGGACAGAGAAGAAAAGAGAGGACAGAGAGAGGGAGAGAAAGAAAGAGAGAAGGGACCGGCAGCCTCCAAAACAATACAGAGAAACCCTGTCTCCAAAAGCCAAAAGAAAGAAAGAAAGAAAGAAAGAGAGAGAGAGAGAGAGAGAGAGAGAGAGAGAGAGAGAGAGAAGGATAGGAGGTGGGCAGGGCCCTTTTAAAAGGGAACATAGTGAGTAAGCACAGGCGGTGCTCTTGGTGGCTGCAGCTGAGGATGTATCCTGTCAGAACCCCAAGGACAGGCCAGTACAGATGCCTGAATTCTAACACAGGGTCAATGAAAAACTCATCTCAGAAAATAAGGTGGTGGGGTTACAGACTTAGGGCAGTTGTCTAGCAAGTATAAGGTCTTGGGTTAGGTCCTCAGTTCTGGAGGGGAAAAAAGGTGGACAGTGATAGAAGAAGACACTTGACCTCTGGACTCAACACGCACACCCAAAAGCATGTGCATGTACACACACACAGACACACACACACACAATTTTTTTTAAAATAAGGTTTTCCCGATGTAGCAGAGAGTTGGCCTGAATTTGCAGTCCTGCTTCAGCTTCCAAGAGCCCCGACCCCATGCACATACTATGGCAGTCGCTGCTTTTCTCCAGTGCAAAAGGCACAGATAGACACACTTCAAGCCAACCTCCCTGTCTCCTACTCATAGGACCTTTCAGTCCCCGCCAAGGACATCTCCATTTGTGCCGGCCTGTGTTCCTACTCATGCTGGCACTCACAACTGTTTCTGAAGGTAGTTAAGACAAACAGAAAGTAAGAAAGCCATTCACCATTGCTCTCCGAATCTTATAGGGGTTCAGGCTGATGTGAAGGCAAAGCTTATACAGATTAGGGCAGGATGAGCCTCTGGCTAGGAAGGAGGGCAGATACCTGGGGGGAGGGTCAGGCTGGCCCTCAAAGTGTTGACTGTAGCTGTCTCTTCTTCCAGGTTTTCCACAGACACCACTTGTCTGAGTCTGTGTATGAATCCTCCTTGTTTTGGTATTTGTAAATAATTCCATGGCATTTGAAAACAAAGGACATATATGGACTTAATTTAAGTGTCTACTAATGGAGAAGCAAATACACACAATGGGACATTAATGGGAAGGGGGTAAATACCTATGACCCCACACTATGGTGTTCCTGGAGTAGTTAGATTAGAGTGAGCATGGGTGGGTGGGAGGAGGTGGGGGGAGCCATGTTTCTGTTTGGGATGATAAAGAGTTCTGGTGACAGTTGACACTAATGGCTGCATAAGGAATGCACTTAATTGGTACTGAGCTGTATAGTCACAATAGTAAGGAGATGCACTTTGTGTTCAGTGCATGTTATTAGAACCAAAAACCTTTAGGACAGGGCTGGGGAGAGGACTCAGTGCAAGTGTGAAAACCAGAGTTCGGATCCCCAGACCCTATGTAAACGTTGGGTTGGCATGACAGTCTGCCAGTAATTCTAGCACATAGAGGGCAGAGATGGAGATGCTGCAGCAGGGTAGCTAAACTAGCCAGTACTGGTGGGCTCTGAGTTCAATTAAGAATAAAGTGGGGCCGGGCGTTGGTGGCGCACGCCTTTAATCCCAGCATGGGGGCAAGAACAGGAGATAGTGCCAGCTCACAGAGCTGAGAACAGGCTGAGCGGTCGGGCTGTGCCTTGCAGTAATCGGACACCATGGCAGGGCCTTAGGAAGGAGTCTGGGCTTAGCTTTGACTGAGGGTGGACAGAGAGGGGGCTGGAAAGAAATTTCTTTCCTTTTTCTCTAGGAGTCTCAAAGGTAGAAGGCAGCAGCTAATTCAACCCATGGCTCCACTTACTGAGCGCCTGGCGAATGCATATGGCCTTCCTGGGGGTGGGGGCCCCGTGCCAGTGTGGTACATCCTGATGCGTGAGGCATGGAAACTGGTCTCCTCCGAGTGGTGTGGCGGGACAGGCCAGTGCTGCTGGCATGGGGGCACAGTCATGGAGGAGCTAAATTCCTTGCGGCTCTCACTCTCGTGTTTCTCTCCCAGCCCAGATCTGCATCGCCGTCTTCATAGGCCTCCTGTTCACCAGGTTCTGGCTCTTCTCCGTCCTATATGCCACCTGGTGGTACCTGGACTGGGACAAACCGAGAAGAGGAGGCCGGCCCATCCAGTTCTTCAGACGCTTGGTGATCTGGAAGTACATGAAGGACTACTTCCCTGTCTCTGTGAGTACCAGGCTTTGGGGTCGAAGGGCCTGTGGGCCACTCATCTATGTGGGGACAGGAGGGCTACAGAGCATAGTGTTAGGAGCCTGAGAGGCCTGTGGAAGAGCATAGTGTCTCTCTGGTTGTGGGGCTCAGACCAATGTGGACACTGAGGAATAAATGTGGCTTGAAGGGGATATGTGTGTCTTATAGGGACAAAGCCATCAGCAGTCAAGGTTCTAGGTGAAGATGACAAGCAGCAGGTCTTAGGAGACTCCACATTACATTTGGCAGATAGGGGGACCCAAGGGTAAGACCTGGGTCACAAGTCATACTGTGAACTCTCCTATAAACTCACTGCTTCTGCACGGGTATAGGGCCCCTAGAGTCCATCCTGCCTTACCACTGGCAGGCTGTATGTTCTTAGGCAAGGCTTAGCTCGGGCTGGCTCAGCATCCCTAGGGACCAGCAAACAGTGTGATATCCCCTACCTTGAGTATCTTTGAATCTTGGCATTTTCAGGTCGTTGTGAACACGTGGTCCTGAGTGAGCAGACTCTGGGGCTCCTTCAGTGGGATGCGGATACAGACAGGCTGAGCCCTGAAAGGCCCAGGGAGTATTGCTTACTGATGGGATAAAAAGGTGGTAGGGATGCAGAGGCCAGGCTGGGGCACTTGAAGCATGGCTCATGGAACTTGACAGAATAGGTCCTAATCCAGCTCTGCCATGTAGCAGCAGTGTAACCCTGAGGTGGGCTGCCCAGTCTCTCTGTGCTTCTGTTTTGGTCATATTTAAGATAGAGATAGCTGGACGTGGTGGCACACACCTTTAATTCTAGCACTTGGAAGGCAGAGGAAGGAAGAACTCTGTGAGTTTGAGGCATCTTGGTCTATATAGTGAATTCCAGGACACCCATTGCTATCTTCATAGAGACCATTTCAAAAAACAGAAATGTTGCTGTATACCTTCCTGGACAGTGTGGATCCCAACAGACTGTGCAGACAAAGTCCTCGATCATCTTAGCTGCTCTCATACCATGTCACTGAGTCAGTAGGACACTGCTTGGATCCTGGACACTCTGACCTTCACCTCTGCCTCCCCGTGTAGAGTCCCACCTCTTTCTTTAGTCCACGACTCGAGTCCCCAGCTCTCAAAGGAAGATGGGGGGGACAGGGTCATAGAGGTTAAGCAACTGCTTGCATCATGGGGACCCCAGTCAAGGGTCCCACCCTGTGCCCTTTTGAGAGTCCTGGGGCCACATGAAGGCTAACAAAGGTTGGGTGACAATGGCATGTAGGAGCTCCTAGCTCTCTAGTGATCAGGATCTTCAAAGAAAGGGGCTATCAGGGAGCAGGAAGGGGCTGGTAGAGACTGTCACTTAAGGACATTGAGAATCTTAGTGTCAAAGGAGAGGGAGCATGGACTAGCTTGGAGGATTCAGATGAGTGACAGTCATCTCCACCCCTCTGACTTGTTTGTTCTACAGGGACCTCTCCCAGTATCTCACAGCATAGCACAGCACCACACAGCACCACACAGCACAGCACAGGACAGGACAGCACAGGACAGCACAGGACAGGACAGGACAGGACAGCACAGCACAGCACTGCACTGCACAGCACGTTAGTGGGACCCAAGAACATCCATGAGCATGTCTTGAGCAGAGTTTCCAGTCCCCACCCCAGGACCTCTGAGCTCTGTGACTAAGCTCCCTCCTCTGCCTCACCTCCCTCCAGCCCTGTACCGGGCAGGTCAGAGTTCTCTGGGAGGGTGTGACGTCTACCTGGGGAGGTGTGAGTGGCGTCAAGTACAGACCCCAAGGAAGCCTGGTTAGTTCTGGCTTCCACTGAGTTTTGCAGATTCTGGCTCTGGTTTCCCTTTGCTTTCAAGAGCTAAGTCCTGAGCTCAGCAGAAGAAAGGCTTCATGCAAAGTGGGTGGCACAGGCAGAGGCCAGGAATTTGTCCAGAGACATCCTGAGCTGGGTCAGTGTTAATAAAGCAGAAGCTAGCCTGAGCTGTGGCTAGAGAGGCAGCTCAGGTCAGTGGAGCTCCCTAGAGGTCACTTCCCAAAGCTAGGATGGCTAGTGGACATTTTCGGGGTCCGGATAGCCCAGGGCTCTGGAGGACATCAGCTTCTTCCCACTTGGATTCCCAGCAGCAGGGCTGACAGAAGGGGAGGGGCGGGGCGGGGGTGGGTGGGTGGGTTGGGGGAGCTCTCCACCTGTGACCTACCCAGGCTCCATGCAGAAGTGGTGACCAGGGGCAGGCGATACCAGTGAGTGGCCAGCAGAGGGAGAGATGCTGGTCTCTTTGGATGTGCCAGGCTTGGAATAGATGCAAGCAGGAGAGGACCGCAGCCTGCAGACTTCATTTTCCACTGGCCTGGCAGGATACCTCCCCTCTCTTCTGGGCACTTTTCTCTCCCAGCTCTGCTGACACTGCCACCCCACCGCCATCCACAAGTCTCTGCACTCCTCATCAAATTCCATCGTCTTCTGTTGACTTTCAAGTTTTGATTATTTGTTACTACGATTTTTACAAGCTAGCTTCCAGGAGTGGAAATACCAAACAAAACTAGGACATTATTTATGACAGTACCACGGAGCTTTCCAAAGTCATCTTTACTGCTTCCCCAAGAGCTAATGGTGAGGAGTCAGGAGTTTCCGTAGAGGGAACTGTTCCTACCACATGTGATAAGATGGGCCCAGGAGTTGGGTGTCTCCGTGGAGATTGCATCACCCAGAATAAACACACTCTACACAGGTCAAGACCTCGGCAGGGACCAAGTTCTGTGACCAGGGCCATGACCTGGGATCACACTGATCACTGTCACAGTCAGCTTAGGACAGTGCAGACCACCTCTCACCCCTCCCCGTCCCTGCCCCTCCCAACAACTAGCTTCCAGGAGGATTTCTCAATCCCTGTTGACAATCAGGACCAGATAAATCCTTTGTTCTGACTATTCTCACTCCTGGCAACTACCTACTATGTACCATTACCACTGTCTTCTGCTGTGACAGTCAAAAATGACCATAGACAGACAGGGGCGGGAGATGGCAAGCTCTCTCCCCTTAGTGAGGACCACTGCTCCAGAACCTGTGTTCTGGGTCCTAAACTTCCCCCTTTGGCTTGTCCTTCCTTCCCTCTACCCTAAGAACCTCTCTTTTTCTGTATTCCACGTGTTCCACAGTCCCACTCCATTATCTGTGCTTTCACAGAACACCCGTGGGATAAAACCCATCTCCGCACAGCCTGCAAGCCCCTGCAGTCTGGGCTCTTACCTGGTTTTCTTGTCACTTTTGCCATCTCAGTTCTCCAAACATAAGCCATGTCACCAGTGCAAGGACCTAACTGAAATATAGCCCCACTTCATTAATCCCCACCACCTTTTACACAGAGTTTGCATTTGGAACCTGGGTGCCCGAGCTCAGGCTAGGCTCTGCTCCTTCATTAGTGGCTTGAGCCTGAGAAAGATCAAGGGTCTCAGGTTCCTCCTTCTGTGCCCTGGGGACACTGACAACAAAATTGTTCTCAGGGGTGACAATGGAGGACAAAGTAGGTTGTTGTTGGTACTGTGCCTACCACAAAGTCAGTGCTGGGAATGTTCGTCCACTCAGACACTTTTCCCAGCTCCCAGGGCCTCATACAGGCTGCATGTATTCAACTCTACAACAGTGTGATTGGGGAGACTTACAGTATTGTGTGGGCCATAAACACACACACACACACACACACACCTTCAATTACGATTGCAGGATGTATCTTGATTTCAAGGTGTTTAGGATGGAGAGGGAATATGAGGGATATATCCATAGATGGCAGTGACTTTGGTGTGAGAGGAAGGTGGGGCAGAGAATTTAACCGAGAATCTGGGGAGGCCAAACCTGGACCCAGGGCCACACGGGGAACTATAAGCAGGGACAGACAGAACATCCAGCCTTTCCTTCATCCATCCATCTGGCTGTGAGGGAGGATACAGGGGAGTTGCACCAGGCCCTGCATACATACATGTGCCTACCCAACCAGTCACACACACATGTATACACATTTGCACACACACACACACACACACACACAGGAATAGATACTCACACCCAAGGCCAGCACCAGATATACTGATGCTGTCTTCCTGCCAAGTAATCTAGGTGCATAAGTAGGCCATGAATCCCTTTCCTTGTATGAAAATATCGATCCACTTGCCCTTGGGGCAGTTGAAGAGGCTGCTGATACAGAAGTCTGGGGGAGGGAATCCTAGAGTTCTGGATTTTGCAAGGTTCACTAGAAAGTTCCAAAACTAGTCCTGAATGCCCTGTGCCCTAAAGCAAAGGATTTCTGGATCCCTCCTGTGCTCTCTGCAATAGATGGCAGGACTCAAATCGAAGTCACCTCTGTGGTTTTGGGCAACTCTCCCATCCCCTCTGCACTCCATTTGCTCACTTGTGCAATGGAGCTATCACACTGCAGCCAGCCCCCAGGGCCCTGGTAAGTGTTACAAGCTAGCAGTACTGGTGCTTTGTGTGTCCTAAAAGAGCCAAGAGGACAGTGAACTCTGGAGCATGTGACCCACAGAAGGGTTGAGAAGGCACAGGGCACACGTGGAGAGACAAGACTGAGCCAGTGTAAGGGTGCACTGTATGATGTTAGGGTCTTCTGTGCAGGCACGGAGAAGGACCTTGTAATTAGAAGTAACATTTTACGTTCGTACATTTTGAGGGCCACATTGTTCATAAAAGCCAAAGAGTAGAAACTACTCAAGTGTTCATCAGCTGCGACACAGCATGAAACAGACCTTGGAAACATGCTAGAATATGTATATGGCTTCATTTATATGCTATCCAGAATACACAAACCGGGAGGGAGCAAAGAAGAACAGATTAGCGGTAACCAGAAAGAAATGTGTCATAATGGATGTGGGTTCCCTTCTAGAGCTGTGAGTGTGCTCTAGAGTCAGTGGTGAGATTGCACAGCTGTGTCAAAGTGCACTCGACTGCACGTTTTCAAAGCCTGGAACTCATAGTATACAGGTGACAGCAGTAAAAAATGAATAGTCTCAGAGTCTAGCAACCTGGCTTCCCTCTCCCTCAATCCCACTGGAGAGTGCAAGGCCCAGCCAGGATTTCTCCAGACGTCCACCGCCTTGCTTGGCCACCCTCCCCTCCTCTAACAGAGCTGAGGGAGCTGCAGAGAGACTGGTGTACCTCACCAACTCCCCTCTTCTTCCTTTACTTCCCGGGGACCTGAAACAAGCCTGTCAGGGAAGCGCCTCCACTGTCCTGTTGGCAAAGAGCAACAGAGGCACCAAGGAGCCAGGAGTTGGGTGCAACCCTGACATGAGCTTCTGGACTCCTGGCTTGGGCTCTTTCTCCTACAGTGGAATCCAGGTGAGGGCAGGATTGGGTTCCCTTCTGAGGGAGCTGCATCCGCCCCTCCCGCTGCCTTCCTTCCTTCTCTCCCTTGTTCAGCTCTTCCCAAAGCATCTCCTCTCTCCCATCGTGTGTGGAGACACAGTATGTACACACAGCCTCTAACCCTCACAGAGAGCAGTTAGCACAGAAGATAGCAGTAGAAACCACCTCCGGCAAAGCTCAGCCCGGGCCTCGGTGGGACAGTCACCCTCCAGAGCACATACTTGCATGTGTGCATGTAAATACACATGCAGATAGATGCCAGTTCTCTCGGTTCCCACCCTTGCCAGGGCATTTCTCTACACGCAAATGCTTTGCTATCAAGGGTACAGTTACTCATTTGCTCATTTATTTATTTAGAGCAGTAATGTGTCCTTGTTCAAAATTCAAGAGAACCAAATAGCAGGGGTGAAAGACTATTTTAGGGCTGGGGAATGGCTCAGGCAGTAAAGCACTGGCCTCAGAAGCCTGTGGACTTGAATTTAGTGCGCAGTACTAATGTGAAAACACCAGGTTGTTTAATCCTGTCACTGGGGTGGTGAAAACAGGCGATCCCCAGGGTTCAATTGCCAGGTAGTCTAGCTTAATTTGTGAATACTAGGAAGTAGATGATACCTGAGGCTGTTCTCTCTCTCTCTCTCTCTCTCTCTCTCTCTCTCTCTCTCTCTCTCTCTCTCTCTCTCTCTCTCTCTCTCTCACACACACACACACACACACACAACAACCCTGACCACCAGTGTCTGGTGCAGCCGTAAGCAACAGTGTCCCCCTCCACTCAGCTGCCATGTCCTGCACACTGTGTCCAGCTCCTTGCTGTACACTTAACAAGCTATCCTGGCTTGCTTCATACTCCTCCGTGACTGTAGTCAGCCCTTGTCGGCCTCATGGTTTGTCCAGACAAGGTTCTGATATCAGCAAAAACCGATGCTTCCATGAATGACATTCCTCAGATTACATTTGACCAGACTGCAAACAATCCTGTAGGCTAAATCCCTCGGCAGGGGAGTTACTAGAATGAGAGACCTGTTCTTTTTGTTTTTTGTTTTGTTTTCCATAAATTTCCAGTTGTTTTCCCAGAGGTGCAGACTCTAAATATCACGTGCTTCCCCGTATGGAACAAGGAGTGAGCACATTGGCACTTGTGTGAGCTAGAGCTCTGACCCTACTGGGGTCTCTGTCATCTCCTACACCCTCTCTGTACTAGGGGAAGGGGCTGGGCCTTGTCTGGGAAGGCAACAGACCCTCTGTCTGTGGCTCCTATAGTCCTTCTTGCAGGGGCCTGTGGTTCTCTGGAGGGTTTTGATGGACTCTGTGGTAAGGGGTTTTCAGAGGTCAAGTCAGGATGGAAGACAGGAGAACTGGAAGCTTTGCAGCCTGGGTGGGCAGACAGGCTCAGGGTCCCATTTCTACTTCCAGGCTGCTGAGGCCTCTGTGGCCCCAGAGGCAGCAAGAAGAGTCCTCAGGGACACAGCTGCTGTGAGTTTCAGGTTTCTGACAGGATGACAGTTCATCTGGCAAAGCTTAGCTGGTGGAAAGGGCTTCCTCTCTCCCAGAAGGTGTAAAGGCCCTGCCACCAGCCCTACCAGGAAACTTCCTGCCCAAGGACTCCAGGCAGATATGGGCTGCTCTTAACTTCCATAGCTGTGGCTCCCAGAGCACAGGGCACTGAGAAGTAGAGAGTAGAGAAGCAAAAAGGGAAGGGACTGGTCCCTTCTGTAACGTGGCCTCCAGCAATAACCTTTGGACAGGCAGAGCAGTGCATGCGCATGCATGTGTGAGTGTGTGTGTGTGTATGAGAGTGTGAGTGTGTGTGAGTGTTGTGAGTGAGTGTGTATGTGTGAGTGTGTGTCAGAGTGTGTGTGAGTGAGTGTGAGAGTGTGTGTGAGTGAGAGTGAGTGTGAGTGAGTGTGAGTGTGTGTATGAGAGTGAGTGTTGTGAGTGAGTGTGTATGTGTGAATGAGTGTGAGAGTGTGTGTGAGTGAGTGAGTGAGTGAGTGTGAGTGTGTGTGTGTGTGTGTGTGTGTGTGTGTGTGTGTTGGAGAGCAGAGAACAGCCTTAGGAGTCAGTCCATGCCTTCCGTCTTATTTGTGGCAGGGCCTCTGCTGCTTCTTCTCTGACATGTCAGGTTAGCTAGCCTCCAGCTTCTGGGAATTCTCCTGTCTCTACCCCCATCTCACTTAGTTGCCATTCATGCTGTGTGTCTGAGTTGACATGGGTTCCAGGAATCCAGACTCAAGTCTTGCGCTTCCACAGCAAATGCTTTTACACAGTGAGCAATGCCTCAGCCCCCTCCATGCCTATGTCCTCACCCCATCTCACCTAGAACTGTTTAATGACCTCTCACTCCCTTGCTGGTGGTAACTCTGGGCCCTTGATGCTTGAGGCTTGACCAGTGAGGGTAAGTTTCTGCCCCTGCATAGCAAAGAGACTTAATGCAGTTGGCATTAGGGTCTGTCCTTGCAAAGACATTCACATGACCCAGGCGTTCCACGGGACTAGAGCCAGTCTCAGATCCACAGGCTCTGTCAACAAGATCAGAATCTATTTCTGGTCTATCTTGTGACCACTCACTCCTAGAGTGGTTGGGCCAACTTATCTTTTGAGTGAGGTTGAGATGGAGTGATCCCAGCCTGGTGATGCCCCACGTGGCCCTCATTTCCTTCACTTGTGTCTTCCCTACTTTTCTATTGCTATGAAGAGACACCATGGCAAGGCAACTTATAAAAGGAAACATTTAACTAGGGGCTTGCTCACAGTTTCAGATGGTTAGTCCATGGTCATCGTGGCAGGAGGTATAGTGGCAGGCAGGCAGACACGGCACTAGAGCAATAGCTGAGCGCTTTTCCTCAAGTTGGGGACTGGTCCTGGTGTGGGCTTGCTTTGTTTTTAGAGACAAGCTTTCTCTGTGTAGCTTTTGGAGCCTGTACTAGAACTTGCTCTGTAGATCTGCCTGCCTCTGCCTCCCAAGTGCTGGGGTTAAAGGCAAGCACCACCACCACCTGGCCTGGTGTGGGCTTTTGAAATCTCAAAGTCCACTCCCAGTCTCACACTTCCTCCAACAAAGCTACACCTACTAGTCCTTCCCAAAACTGTTCTATCAACTAGGAACCAGGTATTCAAATATCTGAGCCTATAGGAGCCGTAGCCATTCAAACCATCACAGCATCCTACCCAGTAGCCAGGAATTCCTTCTCACTTTAACCTCTCCGCAGAAAGGACAGGGTGCTCCTGGGACAGGGTCAAATGTTCCAGCTTCACACATAGGCGTGGGCGAACAATTTACCCAAAGCCATCACCCCAGCCTGGGAAACCGCCAGCACCTGTGTATCACCCACTGTCGTACACAGCCTCTCTCTGCGGAAGCATCCAGGGAGCTCAGGATTCTGATGAACCTGAGACTCTGAGTCCCAGAGTGGCACAAGCCAGTAGCAGAGTCAGAGCTGGCATACAGGCCCTGCTCTTTGTCACCAGCTTGCTGTTTCCTGCAGTTGGTCAAGACGGCTGAGCTGGACCCTTCCCGGAACTACATCGCGGGCTTCCACCCTCATGGAGTCCTGGCTGCAGGAGCCTTTCTCAACCTGTGCACTGAAAGCACGGGCTTTTCCTCACTCTTCCCAGGAATCCATCCTTACCTGATGATGCTGACTTTGTGGTTCCGGGCCCCCTTCTTCCGGGATTACATCATGTGCGGGGGTGAGTCACCTTATCTGAGACCCAGGTATCTCAGGAAGATGAGGCTACTGGGTGGGCAGGGGATCCGGGAGAGGGCTGTCAACAGTTCTGTGTTCCTTCCAAGTAGTTGTTCATTAACAGTAGAGGCTAGAGCCAAAGAAGAACTTTCTGCATCGCTGTGCTGGGAAAGCCCATGAGGCGGTGGGAGGAGGAAGAAGACTCAGAGACCCCTAGCTGGTGAGGGTGTTGTTGGGGGGAATCCTGACTCTGTGGACATTGCCGATGGTTTCTTTCTTGGACCGCTCCCATCTTCAGAGTCATGCCCCTTCACTCGGTATCTGACCCACCTTGCTCTCTTCTTAGGGCTGGTCACATCAGAAAAGGAGAGTGCTGGTCACATCCTCAACAAGACAGGTGGCGGGAACTTGCTAGCCATCATCGTAGGGGGCTCCCAGGAGGCACTGGACGCCAGACCTGGAGCCTACAGACTGCTCCTGAAGAATCGCAAGGGCTTCGTCAGGCTCGCCCTGATACATGGGTATGGAACCCTGGGAACAACACTCTGGGTCCGTTGGAGGTTTGGACAGCAAAGATGACTGTAGCTTCTATTTTGGCAAGGAGATTCTCAGGCCATATGATGAAAATTGTAAGTTGATGTCTCACAGCCAAGTTTCTAAATACGTTTCTATAATGGAGGCTGGGGGAATCAATGGCACTCTGTGAGAAGGGACATGTTTCCTACTGCTGGTGTGAACTCTGAGATCTTTGGGAATCTGGAAGGATGGGGCTGGGAACTTACTGCCTACAGAGCTGCTCATCCACCATGGGAAGAGGCATTTTTGAGGAAGTCTAGCCGGTTGGCACAAGAAGATTTTTTTAGGTGAACAGTAAAAATATTTTACACCCAGGAGGAAACTCTAGGGCATTCTGGTCTACCCATCATGGTAGCCACCTGAGAGAGTTGGGCCTGAAAAGGCTCTCTGAAGGTCAGAGAGGGGTCAAGGCAGGTGTGCTTCAGTTCCTGGCTGCTGAGTCCCTCCCTGCTGGGTGACCTTTCCATCCATGCCTTCCCTGTGTCCCTCTAGGGCATCGCTCGTGCCAATCTTCTCCTTTGGGGAGAACAACCTGTTTAACCAGGTTGAGAACACCTCTGGCACCTGGCTACGCTGTGTCCAGAACCGACTGCAGAAGATCATGGGCATCTCCCTCCCTCTCTTCCATGGCCGTGGTGTCTTCCAGTACAGCTTCGGCCTCATGCCCTTCCGCCAGGCCATCACCACCGTAGGTGAGCTGAGATCCAGACCAGCCATGACAGGCTGCAGGAACAAGGCTTGGGCTAGATACAGGGGACTTGAGGATGGGAAAGATAACATCCTCATCCTCATGGGGCTCTCATTGTGGACAGGGATACACACCCATACACAGATAATAATGTCTGAGTACTCATTCTCAGTGAGAGGCACTAATGTCTGAGTACTCACTCATTCTCAGTGAGAGGTACTGATGGCTGAGTACTCATTCTCAGTGAGAGGTACTGATGGCTGAGTACTTCTGATTCTCAAGAAGAGATGACAGGGACGTGCTGCTGGGTGTCAGACACTACACTCGTCACTTGCCATACTCAAACTTGGTTTGTCCTAGCAACCTTTGAGTTAAGGACTATTATCTCCATTTTATTCATATAAAGTAAGGCCCAAAGAAATTAAATGACTTCCAAAAGCTCCATTGCCTTTGAGGGACAGAGCTGAGGTTGTAACTGGAATCTGTCTGACCTTCATTAGGCCAGAGAAGGAGGGCTTAATTGTGATTGGGATGAGCTAATGAGGTTTGTGAAAAGAAAGCAGAGAACAGAGATGTTAAAATGCTGTGCAGGGATGGGGAGCTGGCTCATTCAATAAAGTATTTGCTGAGCAAGCTAGAAGATGTGAGTTTGACCTCGAGTACCCATACACAAGCTAGGCACAAGGCCCGGTAATGAGCACTGCAATCCCAGTGGGGGGGGGGCCTGAAATAGGAGGATCTGTAGGGCTGGTGACTGGCAGTCTACCAGTTGGCAAGCTCCAGGGCTAGTGAGAAACCTTGTCTCAAAAGAAATAGGATGAAGTATGACTGAGGAAAATGTTCAACATTGACCTCTAGGCTTCACATGTGCTCACCCATGCACACAAACGCATACATGTACAAAAGAGAATTCTTTAACAATTTGTGTGCCATCAATAGACACTGAATTAGACTCTGGGACTCTTCCTGCAAGAAATTAACATGAGGCCGGGCTGTGGTGGCACACATCTTTAATCCCAGCAATTGGGAGGCAGAGGTGGGCAGATTTCTGAGTTTGAGGCCAGCCTGGTCTACAAAACAAGTTCCAGGACAGGCAGAAAAACCCTGTCTCCAAAAACCAAACCAAAAAGAAGGAGGAGGAGGAAGAGGAGAAAGAAAGAAGGAAAGAAAGAAAGACAGAAAGAAAGAAAGAAATTAACATGAGCTTTGGTATATACACTTAACATGAGTTTCAGCTATTTGCACATCTCTTTTGTTTTCTTCTTGGATTCTCATTTGACATTTGTAGAGAGAACTCTATTTGCTTCAGCTCCACCCATCCACCCACCCATTTGTTAGTTGAGCACAGATTTGGTAATCCTTGCATCATGGTCTTACTGGGTTGTATGACAATGTCCTCATGTGTTTGAATGTTGTTGCTGCTGCCTCCAGAGGTATTTCCAAGAGGAGAGGGCACTGCTTTCCAGCCACACAGATTTAGAAGTTTTTGAGAGTCTTTCTGATTTCTCCCTATGACCAGGGAGCATTGCACATCTGCACACATGGTAGAAGAAGGCCTACCTGGGCTGTGACACCTCCACCCTGATTCTAGAAGTGCAGGCGCCTCCAATTCTGACACGTTCAGCTCTCAGATCACGTACCCTGGAGGTGGGGTGCACCCCCAGTGTTTAAAACCTAGAACTGCTTCCACCTGGTTAGTTGGATAGATTACTTAACTTCTCTGAATCTCATTGTATCACCTATCAAGTAGGAATAATAACAAGTTTTGTTTGCCTGGGACTAAGGGAGAGAATGCATATAAAGAGAATGCATATTGCCTCGCATATTGAAAGCTGGCTGTTAGTTGACCTAAACCTTGGAATTCAGTACCTGAGGACTGGGGAGGTAGCTCAGCTGGTAACGTGCACGCAAGAGGAACTGAGTTTGAAACCCCGGTACCTATGAAAAACTATGGGTGTGGTGGCACATGCTTTTAATCCCAGCACTGGGGAAACAGAGATAGAAGGATCCCTGGGGCTCACTGGATGGCCAGCCTAGCCCAGTCAATTAGTCCCAGGCCAATGAGAGACTTGTGTGTCCATAAACATGGTTGATGGCTTCTGAGGAACAGTAATGGAGATTAACCTCTGACCTCCACATGCATGTACATGCAACACGAACTCACACTTATACACACACATGGAGTGAGGGGAAGCAGGAAGAGTGGGCGATAGAGAGAGTCCAGAGTATCTGAAATCTGAAATCAGGGGAAGAGGGCTTGGTAGTGGGACACAGGCCTTGTGGGATGACCATAGGGGTGGCCCTGCTCTCAGGACTCCTGAGACTGCAGTGGTGCTCACTCCGGGCCACTGTCCTCCTCTGTCCCTTGCAGTGGGGAAGCCCATTGAGGTGCAGATGACACCACAGCCCTCAGAGGAGGAGGTGAACCAGCTTCACCAGCTCTACATCAAGGAGCTATGCAAGCTCTTTGAGGAACACAAACTCAAGTACAATGTCCCTGCTGACCAGCATCTGGAGTTCTGCTAAGTGCCTCCAGCCAGAGGACAGCTGCATCTGAGAGCCTGCAGGAGTGTTGCCCGGAGAGGGGACTTCCACGAAGCAGTGCCCAGTGCACTGGAGGTGCTGTGAGGAGAGGGGCCTTCCACAGCCACCCTGAACTCCTACGAATCCAGGCAAGATGGAAGAGGAGGCAGCTCCTAGCCCTGGCATTTGCACCTACAGCCAAAGCTCTGAGGTCTCCCTGTCCTTGGCTTGGCTGTCCATCTGTAGGATGGGGGGAAAAAAGAAATCTCTAAGGTCTCTACCCACTGTAATAACGTCACTCAGACATGACCAAAGGACAGCAAGGGGAAAAGGGAACAAAATTCTCCTTCCCTATCTTTGAGTGACAATGCAAAAGAAGCCAGCACCCCAGGCCCCCCCTGAACATGCCCCTCATCCTGCTCCCTGGATGTCCCTTCTTCCCCTGTGAGCTGGAGAGGAGAGTTAGCCATGTATGCCCTGGTACCCGCCCTCCGTTTCTTCCAGATTCTGTGTCCTCTAAGCGATGACATCGATACCAAAGGAGTCCAGAAGGTGGTTAAGGAAGGCAACGATACCAAAAGAGCCCAGAAGGTGGTTAAGGAAGGCAAGAGCTCAGTCCTCCTTAACTACCTGACTGTGACTGAGGTTAGGCCTCCTTGTCATCCTTCTAAGTCTCAGTTTCCCCAGCCTTGATGACCTGGGAGCCTCAGTGCTCACACCACAAGGGCTCCATTAGGGAGCCTCTCACTCATGCTTTAAAACCAACTCCAGCCACTGTTTGGCACAAAAGGGCAGCTGCATACATGTTACCTCAATAAATGAAACTATTCTGTTTCATCTCCCTTCTCTTTCTTTCTCCCAACTAATGGGGCCGGCTGGAGCCTCGACTTATGCCCTTAGTCCTGTCCCGTGGCCCCAACCTCACCTTGAAGCTGGGTGAACTAGGTTGTAAAAGACCATGTCAGTCTCCTCTTTTCTCACTGGTCACCCTGCGTTTTCCACCTTGAAAAGGAGGAGGAAGGGACATGCCTGTGGACATACCAACACATTGAAAGCCAGAGGGGACACATGGGTGGCTGTGTGTCTCCCAGTGGGCCATACTCTGGCCAGGAGAATTCTGGATTCCTGGGTTAGCGATACTAGACCTACAGAAGAGCCCAGGACATGGCTGGATTGGAAAGAATGCCTGACTGCCCCTCCTTTGTAATGGGGAGCACAGCCTTCCATGTAGGAGCAGTTTCTACAGTCACTGGAGAAGGATGCATTGGGATCTCAGTCCTAGACCCACCTGTCTCCAGTGACCCTAGGCAAACCATCTACCTCTAAACCTCAGTTTTAGCATCTGACACAGGATGGCAATATCCCGCTCTAGTGTTGTGAGCAGTCCCCAAGCCATAGAGTCACACCGTGCCCTCCACAGAATGCTGCGCAGTATACAGAAATTAGTAGTTCAGTGACATGGGTGCTTAACACCTCGTGCAGGCACCTGGGGTTGAGACAGGATGGTGTGGGAGAAGAACAAAGCAGGGTGTGGTGACACACACCTTTAATCTCAGCACTGGGAATGCAGAGGCGGGTGGATCTCTCTGAGTGAGTTCGGAGGCTGGCCTAGTCTACATAGTGAGTTCCAGGATAGCTAGAGCTATGTAGAGAGATTCTGCCTCAAAATAAAATAATCGCACCCAGAGCCAAAGGCAGAGGAGTCAGAGAAGGGAGTGCCGTCTTCGGGTCCAAGGAAGATTTGAGGAAGTGGCCATGGGCAGGGCCTTGAAGAAAGGGCAAGATGGCAAAGAAGATGGCGATTAGGGGTCCATAGCAGCTGTCCGCCACTGACTCCGTAGCCACCAAATAACTGAAAGCAGCGAGAGTCTTTTTTCTCCCAGTTCTGAGTAGCTTCAGCTCTGGTGCAGCTGCAGTGGGACACGTGGGTCATGTGAGGCTGGGATGGCTGTACATAGTGGTGACAGCAGGCACAGGGCCCAGCTTTATCCTGAGTGCCTTCTTAGCACCCTGTGACGACTGGATTCCAGAGGAATCAAAGTCCTGGACTACACAGCATGCAGTGTGAATTCTAACCACACGCCATGCACCTAAATGATCACAAGGTCAGGAATCAGAAATAGACACTATCTGAGTGTGAAGAGGGGCGGGGTTGTCACATCATAAAAGGTGCTGGAGAGTGCTGGTGGCCATCTTTGCAAACTGTCTACAAAAATCTAAAAGTAAAAGCCTATGGTGGAGCCCTCCCTCCCCCGCTTCTCTCTCTCTCACTCTCTCTCACCTCTCTCTCCCGTAATAAAGCCATTGCATCCCAAGGGGTCTGGTAAACCTGGTGTCTATGGCCTGCCTCCCCCTCCCCCTCCCCCTCCTTTTGACCCCACTCTCCCCCACTCAGAATCCTTCCATTACTTTCTATTGTGCCAGGCTGGGGTTTGTGCTAGTCCTGGTCTCACAGGGAACCAGAGGGCAATGGAGGTCGCGCTAAAGATACAATGTCTTGAGGTGCCCACAGGTATTGGAAATGACAATGAGTGGTGTTGTAAGCAACAGCTGTCACCACCCAGAGGCCTAGAAAAACAAATGGAGGCATCAAGTCCCTGAGCCAAGCTGGTTATGCACAGGGCTCATCCTCTGTCAAGGACACAGGCAGCTTAGAGAGACATATCAGACAAGAGCAGGAAATGTCTCTCCCTCCATGTTTCCTCCCTTCCTTCATCTGTCTGCTGAGTCCCTGATGCCCAGGTCCAGAGGAAGCTGGGCCTATGACTGCATCCAGGCAGGTGAGCTGCAGCCTGGGGGCAAGGCTTGGAGGGATCGATCAGTGGAAGACAGATAATGTCTACCTTGAAGCCCAGTGTCAGCTTGTTGTATGTGACACCCTCCTGTCCTGCTCTGGTCCTTGGTGTTTATCTTAGTCCTTATCCCTAAACTTCTGTCATAGGGACACTGTGACCACACTCACGGTCACCTCTGTGATCTCGCCTGAGCTGCTTCTCAGACTAGAATGTATCCCTTCCATCACCTTCCTGTTGCCTGATAATGCTTCAGCATGATTCACCTAACCCAGGGAGCTTCCCCAGTGCCTGTGGGTGAGAAGTGCATCCTCTGGCTTCCCCAGGGTTTCCCTTCCTCTGTCATAGCTCTCAGCACCCGGTGGACACTGGATACCACTGACAGGACATGAGTCCACTCTGTCAAATAAAACCCAGTTTCCCAAGGTCCTCTTCAGTACTTGGGATAACATCTGCGTCTCACCTCCCTTCGGTCTTTTTTTCTGCCCCAGCCCTGGCTGGCCTCGCTGTAACCTCTGCACCCCGAGCTGCTCCTCAGGGCACACTGCTGCACTTGCCCCATCTTAGGCACCTTCTGTCCCGGTAGAATACTCTTCCCTTTGACCCAGTCAGTGCTGCTTACCCCAAGCCACCCCTGTGTCACACCTACGTCCACTATTCTCTGAGTTAGGAATGGGCCTTTAGTTCTGAAGCAGAGAAGGCTCATGGTCACCAATATGTGAATGAAGGCATAAGGGGACTTTTCTGTCCGAGAACCACACACAGAGACAGACAGACACACAGACAAACACACACACACACACACACACACACACACACACACACACACACACACACATACGGTATAGAGTACCTCAACAATCCTCTAAGTGAAGCTGGCAAATTGGCCTGTATTGCAATCTGGGCTTTTATATTTGGACATGGTCAAGACTATAAATTGCAGCCTCTAACAAATTATTTTAAAAGTTATCCTCTTGCTGGGCAGTGGTGGCATGTGCCTCTAATTCCAGCACTCAGGAAACAGATGCTGTCAGATCTCTGTGAGTTCCAGGACAGCCTGATCTCCAGTTAGTTCCAGGACAGCCAGGGCTACAAAGGGAAACCTTGTATCAAAAAAAAGGGGGGGGAGTTATGTGCTTTAAGCAACACTTTACTGACTCCAAGTTCCTGAGGATGGGCACCTGGGATTGACTCTGGCCCAGGGGCCTCCCTGAGTGGCAGCGAAGCTGCTGGCTAAGCTGAGCCTTCCAAAGCTTGCACAAGGCCTGGGGCGCTCACCTCCACACTCACACACATGACTGATAAGCAAGAACCTTTGTTCCTTACCAAGTGGACCTGGGTGTCTCCACGGGCTGTCAGTGATCAGGCTTCTCCTAGAGCAGACCAGTAGGCCAGTGGGGAGAGCGCGTGCACACACACACACACACACACACACACACACACACACACACACACACACACACACACACACACACACACGTCTTTTATGACCTCTGAGTCACATGGGTCTATTGTGCCTCAGTCTGTTGGTTAGGTGTGAGTCATTCTGTTCACTTCACACTCCCTCTAGGGTGGGAGGACAAGAAGGTGCCAATAGCTGCCACTGTAATGGGAGACGGGAGCCCTCAGATACTTAGTGGGGCGTTTCTGACTCCTGTGCTGTAGCATGAGGCAGACTGCCTGGAAAACACTGAAGGACAGACACCCTGCTGGCCAAGGAGAAGGACAGACAACCCCCTAGCAAAGGAAAAAACACAAAGATGGGCGGGGAAGATCTGAGAAAAGGTTGGAAATAGGAGTGACAACTGTGACCCCCATCTGGCTGGCACGGAGGACAGGGTGGCCTTAAGATGTGAAGCTGCCAAGATGGAAACAGGAGAAGGAGAAAGACTTGAGGACCTGCCCTTTCTCACATGGCCTTAGAATCCCCATGTTCAGACACCTGCCGCACAAGCCAGAAGTGTGGAGCCCTGCACTCAGAGGAGGGCTTTGTGTGTTCAGCTTAAAGGATGCTTTTCATGGGCTGAGCCTCTGAGATGGAGAGTATTACTTACGGCAGTTGGATTCCCTGACTCTACATGTATAATGGGCTCAAGTACTTATTTTCATGTTCCCACGCCTCCTGGCCCTCTCAGAGCCTCCCTGGGGGTGCCCTACTCTGTGGGGAAGGCAGTCTCCTCCCCCTCAATGCACATGCAAATACACACAAGATTTGCCAGTGTGATACAGAGGGTCAGAAGTCCTCAAACGATGGGGACAGCTGCAGTCTCCTCCGGAATCAGACTGCCCTTTGACCACGGAGGAGTTCTCAGACATCATCACCCAAGGGGCAAAGGGCTTGCTGAGGTCCAGCCTGTCTGATGCTGCTTGACGATGACTTGAGCAGAGGTGGCAAATAGGACAGGGGTCAGGCAGCACAGTAGAGCCTGTGATCACATGGCATGGGTCAAGGCTCAACCTCCCTGGGGGCTCAGCAAAACAAGGCAAGGGGGTAGGAGCGGCGGCGTCACTTTGCTAAGGCAGCAAAGGCAGACAGGAGGGACACGGTGGGGATACTGATGAGTGATGTGATCAGAGTACAAGCGTGAAATCTGGAGAAGAGAACATTTGAAGGGTAGGGCTGTGCTCAGCAAACTTTTATCAAGCCCTCATGATGGACCAGAGGCTGGAGTTGAAAGTGGTAACCCTGGGAGAACCAGTCCGGGCTTTTCCTTGCTGGCTGCCCAATACAGCCCCAATGTTAGGGAGGCAGGAACTCCTTCCCAACGTTGAAAATGACCTGGAAGACCTTGGAGCTGGTATGGGGCCTAGGCCAGGTCACCCGGACAGATAGAATGGGCTGAACTGAGCATCTATAGTTCTTTTTGTTGTTGCTTTTATTGTTTGAGATAATTATGGTCTCACTTTGTAGCCCAGGTTGACTTGGAGCATACTATGTAAATCAGGCTGACCTTGAACTCACAGAGATACAACTACAACTGTCTCTTCCTCTAGTGTACTGAGATTAAAGGTATGTACCACCATCACTCATTTCTGGCTTCAAAT